AGAAGGTCAGTGTGTACTGCGGAGGGTCCTCGCGAAAGCCGCTAAAAAGGGTACACCGTACCACGTTTAATTAAGCATATAAAAATGGTGACAGTGAACGTGTGATAGGAGGATATAGGAAATGCGAATAGGCCAGGACAGAAGGGGAAATACCACAACTGCTTAGAACACGTTTGGTCAAAGGATCAGCTTCACTTGTCTCTTTGACGAGTAGTAATATGGTGCTACGAATGGCAAAACTCACTGACGATGCCGACTTGATGCCGGCGAAACGTCTGTGAATGTACCACGTCCACGGTCCGACTTTGTAAATGATGATGCATACAATGGACTCCGGACGTGGTGCGTTCCTCTAAGTCTTCCTACCGAAATGACCAAGTTGCAAAAACAAGGCCAAACAACTTCTATGTGCCACAGCGTTTGTCCTCAAAGATACTATCCGACCCAGGCCAACTAGACAGCTTGTGCCCACTATCTCGAAGCATATTAGTTCAAACCCCAACTAAATCAACATGCGTCAAAGAGATCTTCGGTTCGCGTTTTAATAGACGGACGTGTGAATATTGCGAAGGAGCACATACATTCAAGTCAAAGCCAACCTATTCTGAGCCAACTTGAATGCTTCATCACTTGTAAACTATGTAAAATAGGCTGAAACGCCATGCCACCGTGATCTCGAGGGTAGTTTCGCAAATCCATCGTGATGGAAAGAAAAATACCAAAGAACTGGATTACCATTAAAAGTGTGTCTCACGAGCAGGCCATCCTTGCCAACTGAGAAGAGGTGGTTGGACAGCGCGCCAATGTCTTTGGATGGGTCGGAGGCCCAGCAGAAGGCTGAGAGGGAGGCAAGATAGAAAAGAGATAAAGAAGGATGGAGAATACTGAAGAAGACAAGAAAGAGGTGTAAAGGTAAATACGCACTGAGACCAGCTTGCATCCCCAAGAGCAGTGACGTCCACAAGAACAGTCAGTCATCCGAAGGTGGAATCTACATCCGAAATGTATCTGCTGATGCATCTAAGTCTTAACCTCTCATAGAGTTGTCTGGGGATTTCTGTCACCTCAGGGACTCAATGGACAAAAGTGAGAGTACAAACAGAAAAGAGCAATAAGGGTTCTTATAAATAGGCTAACATCGTCATATTTGGTTGGTCGTTTAAAGGTAGGTGGTTTCAGCATAGAGTATGGTTATAAATGACCTCAGCCAAATAAGTATAAATCCAAGGTACGCAACCTTGTGGTGCTGCCAAAGTGAAGAAGAATAGCGCAGTCTTTACTGTGTCTTTTGTAAGGCAGCACGAATCTCAAGTCCCAAATGGTGGGGTATGATATCAAAAGAATTACGGACTACTTTTTATAAAGTTGCCTTGACGACATGACCAAGTTAGGAAAAAATAAAAATCAGGTCAATCATAAAATCACCCCAATGCCACTTGGTTTTCGGTCATTCGCAAGGGAGGATACGGATCGGATGCACTGAGGAAGTAAGATTGCGACATGTAAATTTTTTTTGATCTCGAGTCCAAAGACCGGCCATGCAGTAAGAAAAAATTGCAAGCGCCAGGCCAGCTCGAAACGCTCAGTGGAGATAAATAGCTTAACGACCACTGAGATGAAAAGTGTCGGATAAAACAAAGCCCAATGGCTATCGCTTTCATTTAAGTAGTATGGTACATTTGGAGTAAAACTGGTTGTTGAACACTTGTCCGTTCCAAAACAAATGGGGATATAATGCGACTGTACTTTTAATTTCAACGAATAAGTCGGTTGCAAGACATTCGTGAATTGGTCTCACCGGAATCCGAGGCAGTGAAGTCTGATGTATTCTGCCTCGGTATGCCCTCTGTGCTGGGCTGTCGTCTGTCTGGCATTGACAAACATTGTCAGAACAAGAAAGCATACTCTAGGAAAATCGCAACAACATGCCCAACAAAGCGAAGGAGTGCACGGCTGCAAACCTGTTCATTTCTTACAGTTGGGCCATCCTAAGGCCTCGTCAGAAGGACGAGCATCGGATATTTCAATGATGCTGCCAGCTGTGGGACTCAAGAGCGATGGGAGAGTGGACAGAGAGAAAACGGCAACATGCGAGTTTGATTGGCTGGAAAAGGGGGACATGAAATGTCCTCCAAATCACGGAGGACGACAGGAGGAATTTCAGATCATAGGGTGATTGTAACTTGGATGAACGAGTATAGCCGACTTACAGGTTACCAGATCCTTGTGTTGCTCGAATGAGGCGTAGGGCACGAATGGCCTTTGAAGATCCCAAACGTGAAGACTCAAGTCGATTGGCAGGTTGCAGCAGGAGGCCAATTGAGTTGGCTGTATCAAAAATAAAGGAAAATAGTGTGTAAAATAGCACGGGAAGTACAATTCCAAGATAGAGCATTCGTTGCCGCAAGCTTGGCACCAAAGTTGATTCATATTCATCAGAAGTAGTAGTAACATTAACCGTTGTGGTAGTAGTAGCAACAACAACAACAATAATAGTCAAAACACAAAACAATAGAAATAGCAGTCGCATTAAAAGTAGTAACACTTTTAGCAGCTCCACTACTACTACTACTAATAATAATAATGATAATGATAATGATAATAATAATAATAATAA